ATATGTCTCGTTACTCAAACGATGTGATTGTGAATTCATGACAATAATCTTACATGATTAATACACACATGTTCGTACTATAAAATATGCCATATGTGGAAGGTTTACCGCTAGGATTCGCGAAACTACTGCTGTAACGACTGTACGCAATTACCCTCGGTATCCTGAATTCTGTGAGATAGCGTTAGCATGTCTCGCTGGTCTTCGCGGAAGTAAAAATCGCTTAGTGAACGCACTAAGTGGCGGTGATCTTAGCCTCACAACCGATTACCACGCGTTTTGCCTACGATTTAACCTTCCACATTTACCAATGCGACCTCAAATTACATAGCACAGCGTATCCTGACATCATTTTTCACGAATAAACGCAAGACTCTCTATACCGAAGATGAAGAAATTAGTATCGGTGGGGGGTGTACACTTTCTCTTTCCCACACAAAGAAATTCGATCCTATCCCATGAATTGAAAGAGATTGGACAAAGAGTCTTTTTTTTTTTTATACGGGATATTAACTGCTTTAATCAATGTTGCGGCTTGTTCGTATTTACGAAGGTATATCGCGCCCGTAAGGCAACACTGAAAAATAGTTTGCTAGAGAAAATTTATTCGAGAATATTAGCAAAAAAAGAAAGAAAGAAAAAGTTATCCAGAGTTGCATCAAAATTTTATATACACGGCGAAACATAATGACATAGTAATGACAAATTAACTTTCTCCGTGTTAGTGGCAAGTAGACAGTCTTACTCATCGTAAGGAGCGTGTCGATAAATCATGATTAGATTGTATGCCAAAAGAGATTTCTCGATAGAACATTCAACCTGGATTGAAAGAAGCGGCATGATAATAATAGTGCTCTTCTGCGACGTCGTTGGAATATACATGGGGCGTTCTCGATAAAAGAGCCTTCTTTAACCAAATCTTTCAATTTGTAAATATAAGATAGTAGATAACAGTAATATAGTATCTTTTAAGAAAATTTTTTAAATATTTACATAATACACAGATATATACACAATTTTTTTATCATTGTGTATTTTTTTTTTCTCAAAAAGAACGAATCTAGTTTTTAACTATCACGAAATATATTTTAAATATACTGATATATTTATATGTAACGAAGTTTTCTTAGAACAAATATTTTGCTCCTATGAACTTTCAAAAACTGTACATTTTTAATGTGTGTCGACGAATAATGCGCGTGTTTAAACGTCCTCGTTTAGCCGAGACACCCTGTAGAAAACGTTCCGTGAGATGATACATTCTTCGAAACAATTTAAGTGATCCAGCCGATGTTGGTCTTGGAATCGCTCGGAGGTACAGCCGCACCCAGTGAGTTATCGGCTCGTTCGTCTCGGATTAATCTTTATTCTGTGGCGATTCTTTTACCAGTCATGATACCGCGTCGTCACGCATTTTCCATCGATCTAAACCGATATCTAATACGCTCAGAATACGAACGGTTTACCGACGGTCATGCTCTAAAAACCGAAATGTGCATTTACATAAGATTCTAACGTTATGAGCTGGCAATATTTTGATAAGCGCGGGGCCCTCCTGCGATGCATAGCGTGTGCATTAGATAATAGAACATATCCGCGATGCCACTCTTAATATAATTTAACGGAAACTCTTACCTCTCCGATATTCGAGAGATATTAGCATCAGATTAAAACGTAAAGCCTACTTTACATTCTTGCGGCTTGTCAAATCGCTATCTCGGCGCGGAAGTTGGTCTTCTCGTTTAATTATGCATATAGAAACTTAATTTGTCGAATCTCGTGGTGGAATCTTATTTTCCATTTAAACACGTAGAGAGAAATTGACTCACGTGTCGTCTAATAATAACTGTTAATTTCATAACATGTGATAATATCAAGTCTGTTGAATTATTCAATACGCACACAACATCGCGCTCTAAATTTATCTACTTTTACTATCGCCGCAAGTTCTCGCGTGATTCGACGTGCCATTTCACTCGTTGTCATCGTCGTCGTCATCGTCGTAGTTGTCAATCGATCGACATAAGGACACATTATCACTACCACGTGATAGAATTATAGACTCTGTCTCTGTGAGACATGCATTGCGTGTCTTTGGGAACCCGCATCTCGTATGACATTACGTTATCGTCATACATTACGTTCACCCGCGCGACTCACTTCCTGCGTTGTATCACGTAATATTTTCCACGATGTCATTGTCACGCATGAAGACATCACCATAATAGATATACGGATATTCTACTACCATCGAAACTCGCGAAAGGAAAAGCGTTTCGATTGACCTTCGCGTCGATTTTTCCGTGTCATTTGATTTTTTTTTTTTTTTTTTTTTTTTTTTTTTTTTTTT